AATTTGGCCCTGCCTGCGATCCGGCATCGTTACGGTTTCCGGGTGAGAACCGCGCCGTGCCGTGAGAAGTCTTCAGGGCCTCCACGGACTTTTCCAAGTGGCCCGCAGAGTTTAGGGGCTCGATCAGCTTCTCTCAACCTTTTGACCCTGGAAGAACCCTTGAAATGTTTTTCGGCCCTCGAGGAACCCCTGCACAGTCAGGGTCAAATATAGACTCAAAGGGAATAGGGCAACTTGGATCCCCAGTCCATATAAAACCCACTGTAAAGACGGGCTTTCTTTTTAGTCCATTAATGTACCAGGGCAGGGAAGTCCCTGAGAAGATTTAAATTCATCATCATCATCATTAGATTTATTGGTATTGTCCGTTCTAGAATCCTCCTCTTCTCTCTCACACTTCCTCTCACACCTCACACCAGATCGGACCCTCAGACATGACTGAAGAAACATGTACGGAATTTATTTAAAATAACATAATGAAACAACTACAGGAGAAGCGTAGGGGAGAGATGCAGACAAGAGAAAGAGACATCACAGATTAAGATGGACAAGTCCATTAATTTCTTGAAAAATGCTCTTCTCCCTCCCCTCCCTTCCTGCAATGTAGCATTCACCTGTTATCAATAGTTTCCCCATCTCACGTCAAAAATTAACAATGCATTCAACAAAATAAACACAGTCCTACAGTGCGCTTCCAGAGACCTCAAAAAGAGCTGTAACTAGATTTTTGTTTGGCCTCTGCTCATCACTGCGAGAGCACATGTCCCAAACATGAAATAATTTTTTAAATAAATCATGATCTCCAGGGAACCCCTAGTGACCTCTCATGAAGCCCTAGGATTCCATGAAACCCTGGTTGAGAAACCCTGATCTAAACTGAGGTCATAAGTTAATAGTAAAGTAGTACCCAGTCCTAATTGCCAAAGAAAGGTGCTACTTGTGTGACGGAGGGTGAATAGAAAGTCTTGGGAATATTCTGGACTACGAGAAAAGAGTGAGTTATTTTCTTGTACACAGCCTGGTCAATATGGGTGGCCTAATTGTAAATCTGTATTACACAATTAATCCTAGAGGACTGACACTGGTGAAATGCAAAACTCACCAATTATGCAGTGGAAAAGTTTGTTCATCCTTGGGCAGCTACGAGACTCACGAGACCAAACACTTCATCTACTCTTACCTGGGTCAAGTTGCTATTCTCCTTTTCAAATCCGGTTAGAATATGGGACTTTTTCACCCAAATACGCATTCGGTTACAGGACTGCACGCTAATTCCAAATAGACTGAAGTCTTCAGCCTTCCCCAGGGAACATACCTTGATCTTCAAGCCTTTTGTTTTAATTGCAGGTACTTCTGTGTACCAATTTGTGTTTTTGTTGTGGCCATAAAAAATAGCAAAAAAGCAAGCTTGTATGTATTTTCTTTCTAAAACAAACAATCCATCCAAGTTTTCTAATAAAACTGTTGGGTATCCATCATTTAACGTATTCGAATATTCCTGAATTTGGGTAGCTCTTCCGTTGGACTACTGGGGTTCTGCATTATGCTGAAGCTGGACATTCTTTAGCTAAACCAACTAGTGTTTTCCAAAGCTTAACTCCAAGTTTTGGTAGGATCCGCGT